CGATTCCGCAAGAAGTTTGTTTTCTCTAACAAATTCTCAAAGCATGTCACACTAAATGACAAGACGGAAACGATAGTACCGGCTCTGTCGACGGTCTCGTCAATTGATTTCGTTGACCGCTGTGGAGTTGAATCACGCCAGTCTATTGGGGGTATAGAATACTAAGTAATCGACAGTAATTCCGCAATCCACAGTCTTTATTTCATGCTAGTTGCGGAAATTGACACGAGGGGCTTTGGAGAAGTAATAGCAATGTTTTTCGGGCGCTAGTCATTGTTTATTAATTGACGTGATGGCAGTGTTGCTTCTTGAAACTGCTAACACTCGCTTGAATCTCAATGATTACATTGCTAGCCGCAGTCAATGCCGGTGGGTTGAGAAACCCGGCGCCAACGCGTACGTAGAGGCCTCTAAATAATTATGGTATTCGTTTCAAAATGAAAATTTCTTTCATCGTGTGTCCGATTCTCAATTCAGGCCATATGATATTGCTCGATTGCCTTCGCTCGCCACGGTAGGGGAGGTGGTATTGTTCAATCTTCGCCATCCTAGCATAAGGCTGAGATATACAGTATGCGGGCAGAGTCGGCGTATTGAACAGGGAAAGTCCACGCTCTAGGCTGAACCATTGTGAGCTCATTTCGCTTTCAGATTGTCGCACGATTGCTTTTAGCGGTTATCACTAATGCCACTCAAATCAGTGATGAGACCTCCTCATGCATAGCATTTCTACGCATTTCAGGTGATATCTGCGGTTTTTTGTCTGATGTCGACCGAGTCTTCCCCCTCTTTCTGTTGTAAGGTAATCACGCACTAAGCCACATACATAAGACTGCCCTGGGCGTAATGCTCACTTGCACCCGATATACTACTCGCGAAAGGTCATCCCATACCCCGCGAAATGCTCGCGCGTCGTGTTCTATACTGATTGGCCGGAGGCGATTTGCGGTGAAGGTGCCAACCCATCGCATGGCAGCCTACTTCTATGCACTTAGCCAAGTCCAAGCTAGTGGCTCTGAAATTAGCTTTTGATCCAATTGATTTGATGCCAGCATCCGGTCGTATGTCTTGGCACGTGGCGAAGTTCGGATATTTTGCATGGGAATATTGCAGACCGCATGTCAGAATCAGGCTGAGTACCGCCGGCCCGTCCGGCATAGCCCACCTCGATGTCACACACAAATCCTGGGTTGCCAAATACCATATGCCATTTGTCTTTGCCACGTGAATACGGAAGCCTCTCGGCTGGCTACTTATCTCGAGTCTCCGCTTCGATTCTGTTTGCACTTTCCCCGACATCCTGTACGATTTTCTTCGTCCAATCGCCCAGATATTGCGCTTTAAGACCGGCGCAAAAAACTCTCATCATGGTAAGAGAACACTCAGTCGCCTTATATGCCTGTGCCGGTGAGATTTCTGATCTGTTTCACCAAAAAGGACGCTCTCGCCGATTCAGAAGGCATCGATAATCTCGTCAAGTCCCTTGACATTCTCAAGCGCATTGGAAGTGCACGGATGCTTCAGGAACTTGACCAAGACTATCTCAACGGCATTGTGGTTGATATTAAAGCTACAATAGGGCTGCTCAACCTGGTTACTGTGGAACAGGAGCTGCAGCAAAAACAAGTCAATCAAGCAGCCAACATAGTCATCGCTAAAGCCGTGAAACTTTACGGCATAATTCATGATCTTGAAGGGATGCCTGATGTATCTGGTGGATCTATGGGTAACGGAGAATTGTCTCTCTCTCCCAAGGGAAGTCTAGCGCCCGCATCTGTACAGGCCAGCACTAGCCATACGCCCCTGGAAGATCAGCCCTTGAGACCTGAAGAGAGCACAGAGTCGCCTTGTATCAACATGAAGCATGACACAAATCTCAACAAGAATCAACCAAAGCTGGAAGCTATGCGTATGGAATTGAACGATTCAAAAGAAAAGCTGATACTCGCTCTGCAGAGAGTACACGTGGGTCTGACGAGATCAGGAACTGGTGGGGACATTATTGTCAACATTGATACTGTCAACCGTCTCGATGAACGCTTGAAATTTTGTTCAGGATCTGAAGGTCTTCGCCTCGCTACATTGCTACGACGACAAGCTTGGAAGGACCATGAAGGCAAGTGGCACCTACAAAAGAAGGATCTGGCGGATCTCCAACAGCCATCGTCCCTTGACACTGCCGAGTCCACTCCTTCGAATTCAGCAGTGTCTCTCGCCTCTGCACTGCATGAGTCATCGCAGCCGATAAGTCTTATAGTAAAAGAAGGCCCAGATGAAAGTCAAATCCATGATTCAAGCTTTCATAGTTTGAATTATGAGGCAGCACAATCTGGTACGTATTTCGACGATACTTCCTCATGTGATGAACTTGCAACTACCAACTTCGAAATTTGCGAGTATCTCACGATTGTTTAGAATATCACTAACAAAGGACTGTTATCTCAGGTGCTGCAGCCAGTTCAGCCCAGCAAAAGCAAGATGCTCAGGAATCTCGAAGTTTCGCATGCCCTTACTACAAAAGGTGGCCTACAGAGCATGCTGGTTGCATGCTTTACAATCAACCGGCCGCGAGACATGTGAAAACACACCTTCTCAGAAAGCACCGTCAACCGTTACATTGTCCTACATGCTACGAATCATTTGACAGTAGATCGTCGGTCAATGGCCACATTGTGGCTAGAGAGTGCGTCATTTCAGAACAAGCAAACCCTTTTGACGACCTTGTTTCCTTCGATCAGGAGTCAGCATTGGTAAAGACCGCGCGAGGCAATGGCGAAGAGCGCTGGTTTAAGATGTGGGATGTCTTGTTCCCAGGCGTTCCGCATCCTGAATCTCCTTTCGCCGATGCCGAGAGCGATGTCTTGGGTATTCTTCATCACAAAAGGTCGAACTCTTTCAGAACTTCTTTGGAAGAATTTCAGCGCAGCAGCACAATAGATGCCGCTCAAGTTGAACAAATTATGGGAATTTTTCATGACACTATGGCATCGGCAAATGATGCACATACGATCTCAGGTAGAGAGGCGTATCAAACGATGGAGTCACAACAGGATTCCTTCGGCGATGCGTCTGAAAGGCCGGTATACTCTAACCTCGAGCCCCCCATGCAAGGTCTTGAGGAACTCTCCTATTCACAATCCTCACGAGGACCAGCCTTGACAAAGTCACCGAAACTCGATACGTCTGGATCTAAGCTCGACGAAGTTCTTGTCATTTCAGAGTTGCACTCATCAGATCACGAAAACAGCGAATTATACGCAGAACGGACCAATGACCACGTAGAAACACAAAAGTACGACGAAGTAGACAACTCTGAATACGGCGATGATCAGAGTGAGCAGCTCAGCAATGAAAATGGAACGGCCATAAGTCTACTTTTCAGTGAAGAAAATCTCTCCACAGCGCCCTCGTCACTTGAAGAGTGCCGAATCTATACCGAAGAGGGAAATTCCCACACTGTCCCTCAGAAGCCTGTAAGTTTCTACAACCACCTGGAAAACGACTTTTCGGATCCGGACAATAGAGACGACATCGCATCACTTTTATCAGACATGGAAGACATCCAATCTAGAGATGGATCAACATCTGTGAGCGGAGAGATAAGACAAGCCGCTGTTGACTATCTCGCGAAAGTTCTTTCCCGAGACTCAGATTTGAGTCCTTTGTACGAGACTTCTGTGCAGCTTTTGGATTTTGATCGGTTTGTTCGTAACCACACACGCTTGCTCAAGACCTACTATTTGTCCTTACGCTCGCAAGTCCAGAACAGAAAGCAAAAGGAATCGGTCGAGATCCTGAGATCCCGTGTCCACAGGCGATTGATATCAACCAAGATCGGGCAGTTCAATACCAAAAGAGAAAGGATATCAGTGGAACTGCCGCAAGAAGATGAACAAAAGCTGACTCTACAACGATTTCTCAATAATCTGGATGGTCAGCCAGTTGACCCCTCATACTGCATGAAAATGCCACCCGACTGCGACAGTTCGGACGAGGACGAGGCACAGAATGATGCAAGCAGCATCAATCTTACCGACCTTCAAGCCATGGAAACCTTCTTCGTCTCAGGAGTTTCGCTTCAAGATTTCAAAGCGGAGTTTCGAAACTTTCTCCATCCGACTTCCGAGCCCCAACAAGAAGCCTCACACACGGAGATTTTAGCACTGCAGGCTGAAAGGCGTCGCAAGCTCAGCTCGGGGACTAGGATTTGGGGTGACCTTTTCGATATATGGTATCCACCAAAGCCTGGTTATGACAGAGTTCGATACGTGTGTGTAAGTTTCTGTCTTTCAGTTGTCCACTTATTGCAACAAAACTGGAACTAACGGCTTTGATAGGGCTGTGGCAAAGATATGTTCTTAGATCTGAAGGAACTTAAATCAGGGGGGAAGCAACGATTCTTGCAAGATCTTGCTAAAGATAAAGCAAGTGCTGTTGCCCATTATCAAGCTAGTGGACCTATTGAAGCCAGCGGGCTCTGTACCCCTCCTCCAGCTCACCTTCGGACCGAGAGACATGAATCAGCCAGCTCCAGTCAAAGCTCTGACTTCAGGTCTTCTTCATCTATATCGAGATCCTCTACACCAGAATCAGCATCGGCTTGGCCTGACGCAGAAGGCCTCGATGACCATGAAGATATACTTTTACAATATCTCCTGATGTGTATCAATCAGAGAAGACTTCCAGTGTTGCGAGACATCGAATGCAGTAATATTCTCAATGATCAGTATCTTTTTCGGGAAGTCCTGCGAACCTACCGGGCAGCACGAGAGGAATCCCATTGGAAAATATCGTTTCTTCTGCCGTCATCGCTATCACGGTGGATGAAACGATTTGAGCGTTGGTGTTCAACTTATGCATGTTGGATAGTTCGATTCTTTCAAACTCTGGGAGAAATTAGTCTCTATAAACTGTACACCGGAACATATGTACAAGTAAGGACCCCTCTATACCTCCTTTCAGGACTGCTATTAAGATAGATCTAGTTTGAGCTCGTTCCCATGCGAGAAGTATGTGTACCTATGTACTTTGTACCAGGACTTCCTCCATCAGAGGAAGTAGAGTATGGAAGGTACTCATACAGTATGAAGTCTTTTCGACATGCTAATGTTGAAATCTATTCAATTCCACTGTGGCACCTGACACAGCCAGGGCCACACAGCAACGACTTCTGGCTGAAGAGGTTCCCAAAAAAGCTTCGATATCCACTATTAGTGCCTGGCTCAGATGATACAGCTATTGGATGGGGTATAAGACTAAATGAGAAGTTGGACTTGTCCCATTTTCTGTATATCATTCTCTTGACATGCATAGCAATCACTGCGATTGTGGTCATATATGCAATAGCAGCCTCAGACGCAGCTTCGGCCTTTGGATTGGGTGCGGTAATAGCTGCACTCGCTGCGATATGGATTCCGTATCAATACTTTTGCTGGTTAGAGAGGGTATGCTAGCTGGGCCATTTTGGTTGATGTACTAAGTCACGCTAATAATTCCAATACAAGAAAGTTTTCAAAGAGTTTTATCTGAAATAATCTCATTACAGTAATCCTTCTCGAGCACAGCTCGAGAATTTGGCTGAATCTCTATGGCCAGCTGTTGATCAAGGGGCGTCCTCCCCCAAAAGACAAGAGCGCTGAATGAATCACTTAATTACATCGAGATGCGCGCCGATATGTTTGCTTCCTACTACGAGAGTATTGGTGTATAGGGTATGAAGAAACAGATGAGATTGATCGTTGGAGAAGACTTCTAGTTCTGGACGTCCTCAATCACAGCCGTTTACATAAGGTACGTGACACGCGAATATTCCTCTGCTGAGAATGTGTGCTATATGTAAGCCCCGCTGTAGACTCCATTGCTTACCTCGATAATAATGTATTCCTCTTGTCGTATATCGATATGAAGACCAGTCTGACAGCCTCCGGCACCAATTCTCTTTGGATGTAATTACAGAAAGTTCATCAGCGTGTCATCTAGCGTCCCGCTTTCCCTCAGCGGCTCTGTATGGCCCTTCTTGGGTAGGCCTATCTTGTTATGCCAGACAACCTTGAATCCCGCTTCGGTCGCACCCTCGACATCACCGTTACTTCCAGCCACAAATAGTACCTCATCCGCCGAAACGCCAAGTTCAGGTAAGATAGCATGATATGCTTGAACCATCGGCTTGTAGAACCCGCTCTCTTCAGCTGTGATAGCCGCGTCGAACCTGAAGTTTCTCTGCCCGGTCTCCGTAACCGCCTTCTCCGCATTTCTCACCGCTATGTTGCCCTCCTCTACGGAACAATTCGTGATGACGCCCAGCTTGTATCCCTTCTTTCGCAGACGCGACAGGACATCGCCAACCTCGGGCCATGCAGCCAAGTTGGGCCAATCTCTGATCAGGGCCTCAGGTGCAGATCGTGGCAAGTTGACGTCGTCCGCAGCCTGCGTCACCAACGCCGCGTACGGGGCATATGCTCCTTGACTGAAGGTCAATTCCAGATAACGCTCTCGCCATTTGCGGCCCTCTGCAGCCGTCCCTGTTGGCGTCGAAGCATTCCATATAGTCCATGAGTCGAGCAGCGCCGTTAGGAGATCGAAGATGATGGCTTTAGGAGTGAACGACGGTGAAGCTGTGGTGGACATGGTTGCACGTAAAGAAGTTTTCTGGGTACGTGCACGTAGAGGATATGTCACCGAGAAATGGCAGATGATGTTCCAGTGGATTGGCATTGAATTTAAAAACTCGGCAATGCCTGGAGCTTTGGTGTTCACGTAAGCATTTAGGCTGTAATTAGCAAGGGAAGCTGTCAACACGCCGTCCGGTACCGGACTTGTGCGGCGGCAGTTTCTATTGCTAATGGTTATAAGGAAGATTCTGGACTTTGGTATTTATTACTTGAGAAATTCGGGATGAAAATTCTGGCTAGAAGACGCGTGCGGCCTTTTTGGGTTTTGACCTTGAGCAACAATTGCATCCCAAAAGGGTGGTTCTAAGGAATGGATGGTGCGAATGTCTCGACAGCACGTGTTTCAAGCCGACGAGATGTACCTTAAACTTTCTTTCCTTTTTTTCTTTGCTCGATCCTGCTTTTCAACATTTTCCGTTGTTTCATTACCTAGAGATTTGCTAGCCGAATGTCAGTTGGCTATTCGGGCAGTCTCGACAACACACGCGTGTATTCCGTTGGTCCTGCTGAGACCCCTATCCTTCCTATACTAAAGCGACTAGCCTATATCCTCGCTCTCGTTATTGTCATCGTCGCTATCATCGTCTTCTATGGTCATCGATACTCGTCGCTACCCCATCGTTTTCTCTGCCACCATTGTCTTTGTCGAAGAATTAGGTACGCTACGATCAAAGTCATAGGGGACACTGCCCGAATAGCCAACTGACACTGCCCGGCTAGCAAAACTCTTTCATTGACGTTTCCCATCGCCCATACTCGCTTTCAGACGGGCTGGTTTGAATCATGATGGAAATCGACTCTACGGCCACTGAGATTTCCAACTTGGGGATGCCCACTGCAATGCCTCTTTCGGGCTTTCCCAAATTCTCACAGTTTCCAACAGAAATACGACTCATGATATGGAGGGAGTTCTATCTCGAACCAAGATACTTCGAAGTTCGTTGGAAATATGGAATAACATCTTCGAGCATACACCTTCGGGCACATGTCCTAAATCATTCCATTCATCATGTGGGCTCTCGGCGTCAGTACTTTACAGCCATCGACACAACAATCAATCGCGAGTCGTACTTGGTGGCTACGAAGATCCGGCCCCGGTTCTGGCTCCCGATGTGGTGCAGTCCGACTTATGATTCAACGTGGTCAACTATCCCATCTGTTGAAACGGTCCCAGATGTATTAATTAATTGGGAAGTTGATTATTTGCAACTCAATCTCCATATAACAACAATCGGCGGACTGGTCGAATGTAGTCCCTGGCGCGAATGCAGCCCCACGAGCAGGTTTAGTGATATACGCAAACTTGACCTGGGTAACCTATCGACAGCCGAATCGGATAGATATAGCATCTCGAGGCTGCGACAGCGCTTCCTGAATCTACGGGAGGTGAGGTGGAGCACTAAAGAGGGTACGACGTTTTTCAAATCGTAATTTATGGGCCTAATACACCCGTGAACATTGATCTAGACTCTTGTTGTATAGCAGGTGTTCATCAATCTAAAAGTGGTTTGGGAAGGAACAACGAAGATTCAAATGTGACACTTAAAAGCAAGATTCTGCGACAGAAGTCCATCTGGGGTTTAGCTATGCGCGGTCGCAAGTATTGCTGATCCACGCTCGCATGAAAACAATCGCCCCAAGTCTTGCCGCCTGAGGTTCTGTGAGATTGCACATCTCCAAAACATCAAGATTTACATAGGCAAAGTTCGATGCTCATATGGTTGCTTACGTATCTCAGGTCGCGTAGAGGTGTTGCTGCACAACCTTATTCGCACTTAGGATCAGTAAACTGCTCAGCTTGCCCATCTTCAAGCTATGGTTATCATGGAAGATTTGCTTCTTATTGCAGTTTACGACTCGATATCGAAAAAGCGGAACGAGTAAGCGAACATACGAAGAGCACAATGTAGTTAGAAACAAAAAGGAACATTTGTTTGGCTGCCTTTGAGAATTTTACCGAATAGAACTTTGTAGTAAAGAAGAAGTTCTTTCCTCGATTGCAGGGCCCGCCAAAAGACGACATACTACCGTCTCTGTCTGCTGATAATAATGAATCTAGAATGCGAGCAAACGAATCAATCGCCTTGATTTAAAGCTCAAACTTACTTATTGCCCGCTTCTAGCATCTTTTCTGCGCTAACGTGGGGCTTGCTACCACGCTGACCGGAAGATCAGCAACTCGCAGCAAGCTTCCCCTCTCCGGACCGAACCCCCAGCAGCCAAGCCATGCAGCTTCACTTGAAATGTCACAGTGGTCTTCCACTTCAGAAACCATTTGCAGTGCATTTTGTCAATACCAAGACTTTTAGCAAGAGATTACTGCTACATGAAATGCAACCCCGCGCATACGCCCCTGAGGATGGCCGGACAATGCGATGCAAAGCATCATCTGCTGATTTCATCACCTAAGATTTGCAGATCAGAAGCTTTATCAAATATCTGTGCCAGGGGCAGCAAGTACTTATTGACAAGAACTGCCGCATATTTCAGACCTGCCCTACTTTGTCTCTTTTCCTCAAGACCTACGACACAAATTTGGTCACACATTGATTGACAGTCTCCATGGGTCGCATGAGCATTTCAAAGGCCATCATCGCCACTCTCGCAACTGTGAGAGTGGCTATGTCCGTCTATACGGAGCTCCCTAGCGATTTGACTGAGGTTGATATGATAATAGTTGGAGGTAAGTCATGATTCTCATCCAAGATTGATTCCCGACTAACATACTTGCAGGTGGCACAGCTGGGAGCATAATTGCGTCCCGTCTTGCTGAAGCAGACGCCTCTGCTACTATCCTTGTCATTGAGCAGGGAGGAGACAGCTATAATGTGACGAACGTCATCTACCCGGCCTTGTTTGAGCGCAACACCTTACCTGGGTCAGATACAGCCCTCTTCTGGAAAGCAAACAAGTCGCCGCAACTGGCAGATCGCGAGCCCATCGTTGAGACTGGAGGTATTTTAGGTGGTGGGTCATCGATCAATTGGATGGTATACACCCGCGGGCAGTGGGATGACTTCGACTCGTGGAATACTTCTGGGTGGACTGCTGAAGACGTCCTGCCGTATTTGAAGAAGGTTAGCGTAACCAGAGCCTGTGTTTGCGGTAGCATCGCGAGTATCTCTCACTGTTTAGACAACAAGCTAATGGTTTGCTGCATTTATAGACGGAGACATATCATGGAGCAACAACCAATGAGTCAACCCACGGTTACAGCGGACCAATTCACGTATCCAAAGGAACCCACTCCGCACCTCGTGCTGAAGCCAGTTTCATTGAAGGCGCCACAAAGACTGAGTTCGAGGAGATCGTCGATCTTCAGAGTCTACATTCTAATAATGGTTCTGGTCCATGGTATCGTTACGTATCGCCCGAAGACGGCCGTCGCCAGGACGTTGGTCACCGATACCTACATCCTCTTCTTCAGAGCGGTGACTACCCCAACCTCCACGTGCTGGTTGAGTCCCAAGTTCTTCGCGTGTTATTCGATGACACTAAGCGTGCCACTGGCGTTGAGTTCCGACCAAATCCCAATTTCGCGAAGGCAGGGCAAGATAACAGTACTAGAACTATCTCAGCGAAGAAGCTTGTAGTTGCTTCTGCTGGTTCCTTTGGGACGCCGCTTCTTCTCGAGCGTTCAGGAGTTGGTGATCCCGCAGTTCTTGAGAAAGCTGAAGTACCTCTGGTTGAATCTCTTCCAGGAGTGGGCAACGATTTTCAAGGCATGCGCACATCCCTTTTTTTCGTGGGCCTGCATGCTGACATCTTACAGACCACCATTTTGTTGGCTATGTCTACCGCACTTCTCTAACCCAGAATGAGACCATCAACGGCATCGCCCGCAACGATCGCGGCCGTGACGTTCCCGCCATGATTGCCGCTAATGATCTGCAACTGGGGTGGAACGGCCATGACGCCTCCAGCAAGCTTCGTCCATCTCCTGCAGACATTGCAGCTTTGGGGCCTGAGTTTCAAAAAGTGTGGGACAGAGACTTCAAAGACTCGCCCAACCGCCCTCTCATGATCTGGGGTCTCTTCAACGCTTTTTTCGGTGACCCTTCGATCTTGCCCGACGATGCAGAGTATGTCACTACCGCGCCGTGGGTGACGTACCCGTACGCCAGGGGACACGTTCATATCACTGGTCCTACTATTGATGATGATTACGATTTCGACCCAGGCTGGCTGTTGGACGAGAACGACATCGACCTGAAGAGTCACATCTGGGGCTACAAGACCCAGAGAAAGATGGCTCGTCAGATGGACATCTTCAGAGGCGAACTTGCTTCAGGACAGCCCAAGTTTCCTGAAGGATCACAGGCTTCTGTCGTAGAAGTCGCAGATGGCCCGATTGAAGAGGATGTTGAGTACTCAGCTGAAGATGAAGCCGCCATCGTGCAGTACATTCGAGAAAACATCGGCACTTCGAGGCATCCGTTGGGGACCTGCAAGATGGCACCACGGGAAGCTACGGGAGTTGGTAAGACACGAAATCCAAGATATCGCTGAGGTCTTTGCTGATGCATTGCAGTTGATGCCAATCTGAATGTGTATGGCGTTTCCGGCCTCAAGATTGCCGATCTCAGCGTGCCACCACACCAAGTTGCTGCGAACACCTACAATACGGCTCTGATGCTTGGAGAAAAGGCAGCAGACATGATATTACAAGAGCTGGGACTTGCCTGAAACCGTGCTTTCTGCCACACAGGCCGGCGTGGTTGACTTCTCATCGCAGGAATCCGCACAATGTCCTCGATACGAGCCTCACATGTCACACTCCGCTGGCCATCTCCACAGTCAATCAATGGAATCGTGTTCCCTTGTCTCCACATGCAATTATGGCATTCTTGAATTGTGTTACAGTCCAGGGAACATTGCGCCATCCCGCACCATGTCCCAGTATTATCTCGTGATCCGCGTACCCAGGGACCATGCGCACTATTCTTCAAAGGTGCTGGACGTCCGTGAGGGCCAAGCAAAAGATCTTCTGGCCAACAGGCCCCAATCGCCAGCCAATCCCCGTCTGGCATCAAGCTTACCTCCAATTAACGGCGATCGCCAGTCTTATCCGTCGGCCGAGAAACCCCACATGCGGGAAACTTTCTCGGCACTTTATGCTTATGAGTGATGGCGCGATTGCAAAAGGTCGATCTGATTAGGAAAGTGGTAATCGATCCTTCACACCCGGCAGCTGGACAAGGGCCTCGACGGGCCTGACGGGTAGCTGATAGGGTGTGGAGAGCAAATAAATGAAAGGAGGGTACCGTGTTGGTTGCCCTCCAATCACCAACTCCCGTCTTGGCGCGTCCGGAGCCGATGTGGGGTCCCCAGGTGCCGAACTCCCGTGTTGCCGCCCCGCTGCCCGATGGGAATAAAGCTTGATGCGACTTCAACACCAGGGGGGGCGCTCACGATACTTCCGGATTAGGGAGGAGCTTTGTTCACGATGGGTACAGCTGTGCTGCGTGGTAGACGCGCTCCCGCGCCTCGAACGAACGACACTCGGCAAACCGGCATCGCGATATCTACTCACCTGCGATAAGGAGGATAGTGGCAATGGAAACATCGCGGGCCTCGCTGAAGACAACCTGCCGAGACACCGTTGTCAGTTCATCGTCAACAGGTATAAAGATGGACTCAAATCGCCAAGACAAGTAAATGTTGGAATCAGCAGCAGCAGCATCCTTAGCAGCAAAGCAAGAGCCTCAAGCATCCAACTTCACTCCTCAAGTCCTCTCTCTCCGGTCTTCACTCCACCCACCCCCAACTTTCAACATGAAGTTCTCCCTCTTCCTCGCTGCCGCCGCCGCCGGCCTCGCCTCCGCCGCCCCGGGCACTCCCCTCAAGCAGCGCGACTACTCCCCGGTCACCCCCCGCTCCGACCGCCGCGCCCGCTTCAGCTCCAAGCCCATCAACCGCACCTCCACCGCCCCCGCCGACGTCGTCTCCCTCGACGCCGTCACCGGCGACAAGAACGTCGAGTACTCCTCCAACTGGGGCGGCGCCGTCAAGATTGGCACCGGCTACAACCACGTCACCGGCACCATTGTCGTCCCCGAGGTCAGCGGCTCCTCCGGCGCCGCCGCCTCCGCCTGGGTCGGCATCGACGGCGACACCTGCCAGACCGCCATCCTCCAGACCGGCGTCTCCTTCTACGCCGACGGCACCTTCGACGCCTGGTACGAGTGGATCCCCGACTACGCCTACAGCTTCAGCGGCTTCAGCGTCAGCGTCGGCGACTCCATCCGCATGACCGTCGACGCCACCTCCAAGACCAAGGGCACCGCCAAGCTCGAGAACCTGACCACCGGCAAGACCGTCACCCACACCTTCTCCAGCACCCCCTCCACCCTCTGCGAGACCAACGCCGAGTGGATCGTCGAGGCCTTCCAGGAGAACGGCAGCCAGGTCACCCTCGCCGACTTTGGCACCGTCAAGTTCACCGCCGCCGCTGCCTCCGGCACCTCCGGCTCCACCACCCCCGCCGGCGCCACCATCATCGACATCTCCGAGGATGGCGGCAACACCGTCCTTGCCAAGGCCTCCGTCAGCGGCAGCACCGTCACTGTCTCCTACTCCGGTTAAATTTAGCCTCTTTGATCTGACTAAGAGACTGGCTTCGTGAGCCAAAGACACACAAACACACCACATGTATATAGACTTGAGGAGATGGACATACAGGACTTTTCTTCGTGGGATGGAGTGACTGACATCACCCTCATTCTTATTATTGGATAGTATTTAGGGTTGGATAGCGAGAGATGAGAATTGATGAATGATGCTTGATGCTGCTTAATATTGAAGCTTCCCCTTCCGTGAATCGCATTGTAAATGGCAAACGTGACGCAGTAAGCCGTTTGTCTAAGTTCTAGTCTTCGCTATAACCATCAGCGGTCCCTTCAGATCACTCACTCCAACACTCATCATATCAGGCAGTCTCCCCAAGAAGCGCCCTTTGGAAACTTCCTCCAATTCTTGCGAATCGGCAAGCTGGAAGTCAAATTCATGCAATAGTGTGCTGGCAAGTTTGTAGATATTGGTCTGAGCAAGTGCTTTCCCAATACACTGGCGGCTGCCCAGGCCAAAGTGCATGAGATACCGCGCTCGTTCCGCAATCTCCTCTTGATCCCAGCGCGATGGGTCGAACAAATTGTGGTCATCGCCCCAGACAAGGGGGTTGTGGTGGAATGCGTGGTTGCAGACAGCAACCGATGTCTTTCAGCAAATTTCCGTTAGCGTTTTCGCATGTTCGGGGAAATTCAACTCACCCCTTGCTTGATGTGGCGTCCTGCAACCACGATGCCCTCTGGTGCTGTCACGCGCCTTGCTAGCGGCATGGTAAACACTGGAGTCAGTCGGAAGTTCTCCTTTACACACGCTCGTAGAAACGGCAGCGAGTTCTCAACTTCCGTGACTGAATAAGCCGCCTTTTCTCTGTCAAGTGGTTGTAAGTTCGCATCAATCTCCTCGACACACTGACGAAGAGTATCAGGGCTGTGAAGCAAATTCCAGAACAGCAACGTCGTCGTCGCACTTGTTGTATGTGTTCCCGCAATACTGCCCCCAGTAAATATCGTGACAACTTGTTGAAACGGCAGGAAACAAAACTCACATGAACCCAAAAGCCTCCGCCTCAAGATCACTCTTCGCCAGTCTCTCCCCAGTATCAGGATGCTTCGCCAATATCAAATTAGTCAACAAATCAGTCCTGCGCATGCTCCCCTTCTCCGCGTCGCGATCCACCTCTCCAAGCCGTATCTCAACACACTCAGCCGCCAACCGCGCACACTTGGCGCGCCCCTCAAATAACCACCGCAGCCCACTGTGCGGGATCGCCGGCAGCCACTTCTTCAGCGTCTGCGTCATCGCCGGCCACGATCCCGTCGTCGAGCCGAGCAGCGTATGCGGCACGACAGGTGGGACGAGGGACTCGGCCTCGTCCGAGACCTGCGCGCCAAAGGACCGGCTGAAGGCCAGCTCGCCGAGGACGTCGATGGTGTAGTACTGCAGCAGCTTCTTGAGGTCAAAGGCCTCGCCGTCTCTCGCGAACTGCGTGACTTTTTCGCGGAGGATTTTGACGTTGTCGTCGAGGTAGTGCTCCATGCCCTTGACGCTGGATAACGAGAAGGAGTTGGACATATGACGTCGACGGATGGAGTGAAGCTATTGGCCATATTCAATAAACGCTTTGAAAAACAAGACGGGAAAGGGCGGAGTTACTTCAACATCTCTCATGCCAAAGACATTCGGTATCTTGGCCCCAAACGCGTCATAGTACTCCGTTTTGGGCAGTCGCCGCCCGCCCTTCTGATACACCAGAGGAACGACCTCCTCGGCCGTGATGCTCAACTTATCTGGCCCATAACGCACGAACTCCCCATATTTCGCGTGCAGTTCAGTCAGATTGTACGGCTGCTGTAGCGAAAGAAACTCATTCACCTGCCATAAGTCCGTGAGGGACGCCCAGAAGGGCCCCGGGTACGCAGCAAGGGGATGAAAGTATCTCTGGTATATCACATACGCAAACACACCGGCTACGACAGCCCCCGGAAGCAGGCCGACCAGAGACACTGGGGCATCACTCAGCAACTTGGGTAACGGAAACATGGTGGCTCGTCAATGAGATCGATAGAGTCAGAACCAGACTTTACCAGAAACTTAGCATTGCATGTTCAAGTTCTTATCTACCAGAAACAAGTGCCCCGGTTGTCATCTGCCGAGTGTATCCTAGAGAAAGAGCTGCATTGGTAAACTCTGCTAACCGAATCTCCCGGGTTCGCTGCGGTGACAAGTGCGGGGGAGAGGACGTCGGATGCCGCGATACCCTTGTCGATCTCCCTGCTGTTTGTGACCGCGCGGAAAACCTGGGGTGCATAGGGGTCTGCGGGGAAAAGTGTTTGAAAAGCAGGTGCCATTTCGTAATCACGGCCATGTTGGTGATGCATACTTAGACACGCGGCTGATTGAATATCCATGGATGAGGAAGTAGCTGCCAGTATTTAAATGCATGCTGAAGTTGGGCTCTGAAAATTGCTCAGCAGGACAGCGTTGGTTTTGCGGCCGTTGCTTTGGGCCAACTACGAAGACTGCGAGATTCGGCTCTGTTGATGGAAAAACGACAGATATGCTCAGAATGGTGGAACTCAAAGGGCGCCACGTCAGCATTTACTAGAGACGTCTTGATACATGCCTTGAGCGGAGTCGACTCCGGCGTACCCAACATGATGGAATGTGGTCGGACAAGACCACTAGAAATTGAAGGACGGACCATCCGTTCACTCATCATAAATCGCTGAAGCGAACATGGGACCAAGAGGACGGTATCAAGAAATAGCATGTGCTCCCGCGTCGGTAGCTCCCGGACTTCCCCCATCATGTGGGGGACGGCGCCCGACGATACCTCAAGTGGCAATTTTCGCTGCTCCGAACACTTTGCGAATGTGATCAACCGTAAACAACATGTTTCATGGACCACGCGGATCTCGCATGTCCAGTATTCCGTCTGCTGAAAGTCGCGACATCGATTGCGTGTTCCATGTGACAAATTGAGAGTTCTGGCTCTTGACCGACGAGAATTCAACGCTGGCATCTACCAAATGAACCATGGTCCAATTCAAGATCGCCATTCCCAGCCAAGCTTTAAGGGTGCAATGCAACTGAAGAGCCTCCCGCTCAGCCCTATGATCCCTCGTTGGCACGGGCGATGGGCGCTCGAATTTCGGGCACGTCGGGTACGTTTGCTTAGCATATTCGGGAAGTTGGTCGGATTTCGTGACCGTGGACCGTCCGTCTTCAATTAGCCTATCGCGTTCGGAATTTCATTCCCGTATTCGGATCAAGTGAGCGTGGATTTGCTCGTGTAATCTCCGCAAGACCACCGCACGCGCAGTAGACGTGCTCACTCAATCGGACGGTGTTTGACTGCCGGTGCGACGGAATTAAATTGACGGCACGAAGCGTGCCGAAGATTGGGTTTGAACTCCTTTCGCCATACGCTAGTCTCTTTCGTAATGTATCGCATTTCGTCCCGTCAAGTTCTAGTTTCGGGGCCTTGCTGCATGTACAAAAGAGTATCAAGTCGCAGATAGGATCAAATCATGTGATTGAAGCACTAGGAAACCACAGTTCAGGATTTGTGAATTGTTCAGTTGATTTGAATCATAGATCAGCTTTGCTTTGTACTAGGACGAAACGTAAAGCTCTATACACAGCAAACCCAATTATGCCCAAGTGGGCCTGGGCTCGACAAGACGCCTCAGTACTCTGTGGACCGTCCATTAAGGCTTGAGAAGGAACCAGCAAAGAGACAAAAAAAAAATCAGGCATTAACTATGAACTGCCAAATAACCAAGAGCAAAAGCGTATCAAGACGAGATGAATGAAATGTCCGTGACAGTTGGGGTGTTTGTAAATGTGTGATGATATGGTATACTTGAAGTGAAATGGGAACGAGGGCATCCTCGGGATGGTATCATTGGTTTATGCCCTTTGTCTGCCGCAGCAGTAACTTGCCCGGGGGTTTTCTCTTATTTTCTTTTTTCCGTGTTCCGTTTTTGCGCCGTTCAATCACCCACTTGGTTTTGTTGAAGGATAAAGGAAAAGAACTAGCCGCCCTGTCGTCTGGTAAATCCTGGCCACGTATAAAGTAAAATCGTCGCTCGTTCAAACGGGGGCGGACTTGATGTCGCCCTCGAAAGGTTGAGGTTGAGGAGAATCGGTTTCGGGCTGCTCCCTCTTCTTCTTGCCCAGGCGTTCACACCATTCCTCAGCACTGACAATGGTGCCATCAAGGACACCACTAACCTGGAACATCATGTCGAGACCCTCCTTGGCGAGAACCAGGACACGATGGGCACCTTCACGCATCGCCTCCTCTTGTGCCTCGGCGCCAGTCTTATCGCCCTGTTGCTTTTCAAGGGCGCTGGCGTAGCGGAAGCGTTGTGGGAGCGTGGTCAGATGGCGATGGACTAGGAGACGCGCGTTCTCGGGGAGAGCACCACCGGCGTACTTGGAGACGGTCTCAATGCAGTTCTTCAAGGTCTTCAAGATATCACCCTTGAGGCCACTGATCTGGCCCGCCAACTGGGCACGCTTTTGATACTCCGCTGCCTCGGTATCACTGTCGGTCATGGCGTGGTCGCCGTCGCCGTTCTCACCCTGGCTCTCAGATCGACCAGCTTTCTCATACTGCTCGAGAACCGTCTTGAGATTGTTGATGACACCACCAAGATGGCCGTTAGCCCACCGCAACCAGCTCAGGCAGTACTTTAGACTCCGAAGACTTTCTTCACTCATGGCTATACTGAGACCAGACGTAGACATGATGAGTCGAGATTGCCATGCAGTGTTAGAACTGTTGGGCCTCTCAGCCTTCTCGTCTTCGGTGTAGGCGGGTGAGCGGTAGTCGTCGTACGCGGGCAGCGTGTCGATGGTGCTCGCTCTGGAGAGTCGGCGGTCATGCTTGAACACGTAGGGGTCTCGTGGAGAGTCGATATCAGGCATGACGTTCGTTTGCGAATCGGCCAAGTGTCTAGCCAAGTCGCCTCCAGTATCGACTTTGCGTCTCTTGTGAGACCCTCCATCAGCGGCTTCCAAGTCTGTGGATTGGTGTCGCCGATTCGCCCCCAGCCACCAACGAACACCAGTCTCAATACCCGTCTTCCGACTAATGTTCCCAGCGACGTTTGTGATTGGCGTCATGTATCCTTCAACGTATTCGGCGCTAGTCTTGAATCGAGGAGAGAAGGTCTTTCCATTGTTGTAGAGTCCGGCGGTATTCTTGATGGTGTTGGCGATCATAGGATGAGATGTCGTCAAAAGCGATAGGAGGGGCTCTTCGGCGGATGTTTGCGAGCTCGCTTGCGGGTTCGACGTAATGGAGATCGCCGGAGAGCCCACTGGCAACGGGGTATGGTATGGTTGTGGTGAATTGATGGAGTGATCATCACCTATTAATGCCGTCAGCAAGTTACAGTAATCACAAACAGGTCGCTAATCTCATACCAGCTTTCAGATCGCCCAGCGCTTCAGCAGCCATTCGCACATCCGGGTCCTCGAGAAGAACGCTACGTTCTCGTGTGTCGTAGTATCGATCTGGTGATGCGGCACTCATAGGAGTATTGTTGCTTAGGTCGAGGTCCATTCTCGCTGTAGTGTTGGCAGGTTGAGCATGACTGGGAGTGTAGTAGGTGGTGAGGGGGTTGAGGCTCGGCCAGTGCGTCAAAGGAACGGTTGTCGTCGAGGCTCGCGTAAGAGCAGGTGGAGGTTGTTGTGAATGCGGTTTTTGGCGACGATGTTTGGCTTCGAGGGCCTGCGACGAAGGTGGTGGTGGTGGTGGAGGAGGAGCAAAGCGCGGGGGCGGGGGACCTGTTACAGACGACAGAGATGGTAGATTATGGCCGACGTTATCATTATGTTTGGCGGCGGGAAGGATGGGTGCAAGCTCGGTAGTCGGAGCGTCGGGAAACCTCAGCAAGTTGGGATCGTGGGACTGGGCATGCGCATAGCTCGGAGGAGCATATGAGGGCAGCTGGGACGGGAGGTGTGTCGGGTCGTAGCGAGCGTGGGAGAGAATGTGCTTGGTCTTGGAAGATGAAGGCTCTGCTGGAGAGGAAGCGGCGGTAGTTGAAGAGGTGCCGGCAGCTGAAATGGTGGTAGCGGCAGGAGAAAAAGTAGTAGCGTGAGGGCGAGGACGAGAGTGCGTGTGAGGGTGGTGGTTGTGGTGGTGGTTGTGCGTGTGCGTAGTGGGCGGAGGAGGGACAGACGAGGAAGATGGCGGCAGCTGGCGGTCGCCAGAGTTGGGCCCGTGCAGCATGTGATTTTGGCTCATGCTCATGCTCATGCTCTGGCTCAGACTCTTGTCCATCTCGCAAAGTATATTCGGACGGCGCGTCGAATATTTTGGCGGGGAGGGGTCAGCGGAGAAGAGCCTGCGGGCTAGGCTGGGCTGGCCGGACTCTGCTCAGGTTCCCCCAGCTGGAAAATTCCCCAGGCGGCAGAGAAGGGAGAAGGAAAAGACTCGAGAGGCAGGCCGAGGAGGAGGACCAGGAGCGAGACCGGCGCGCGGGTGTCTCAGCGGTCAACTCTGGACTGGCATGAGTGGAGATGCGACTTGCCCGGCGCCGTTTGGTTTGATTGAGATTGTTGAGGAATTTTTTTCGCAAGCCTCTTTCTTGCTCGCTGCGTCCTTCTGGCCTCGAGGTAAAGTTGCAACGTGCTTGCAGCAGACACACAGGCTTTGGCTTCGACGTGGAGTGGAGGGCGTGTGCAGATTGGGCAGCGGCGGGACGGGTCAGATTTGAAGCGAGGGAGAGAAGAAGGGGTGAGGGTGGCTGCGGGCGGCGCGACAGAGGTTCATGTAGTACGGTTTGGGTGAAGTGGCGAAGGATAATTCACACGACGGAGGGGATTCCCACGCGGACAAGGGAGGGCGGCAGGACCTGGAGATGGATGGGGGGGGTTTCGGGGTACAGCCGCCGAACAACTGGAGCCTCCTGTCTGTCTGGTGTCTGGAGGAGCCCGACTGTCGATGTGAGTGTGATGGCGAATATGGCGGATGCTTGCTTAGTTGCTTGCTTGAGATGTCTTTTGCCCTTGATGGATGGATG